TAAATGCATTTTTGCTCACATTCTTGACAAGTGGCAAAAAGACTGGCAGTAGGGTCCCCTTACAGAAGGTAAAACCGGATGTGAAGCATATTTGCAGGCCCAGCCAGGACCCTCTCCTATCCTCCCACACAATTTGACTTGCCAAATTCAATTCCTCTCAGCAGAACTGCAATTTGGATGCAGCATCCTCTCCAGAGTCTGGCTTTGGGATTCACGCCCCAGCTGCAAGCTGTCACACTGCACTAGGAAGGCCCCTCTGCAGTCAGTGTGAGATACAATTAACCTACAGATTTTGTAAACCTTTATGACCTCTGGGGAAAGCCTAATTCAGATGATGTTTAGTCTACTACTTTTGCTGATGAAAAGAATGATCAAAACTATTCAGATGAGGAATTTCTCCTTCCCCTGGCCACTGCTTCAGCAGGCACACAGGATTTTCCTTCAGTCAGTTTACACCTCTGTACAGCCCCACCATCTCTGGTTAGTGCCTTGAGGCAAAGCCCTTCCTAAGCAAAACCAACTCCAACCCAGGCTGCTGAGAGATCAGTGTTTTAGCAAACAGCAAAAAAATAAGCCCATTCCTTTGTTAAAAATTATTGTTGTCCCTGAGAGGATGACTGGCTCATAGCTACAGTTTCCTGAATGCCCAGAAGGTGCACAGAGCAGCCCCAGGCCTGGGAAACACCCTTGCCAGGTTAGAAGCTCCAAACAGCTTCAGTAAATTTCTTATGTTCTGGCCACAGCTCTTCATGGTACTTGCACCATTCACTGAAAAGGTACACAGTGGTGAAACACATGCACACACACGACTTTAATTCCCAGCCAGGTGACACATCCCTCCACATGCATCAGCACGGCTAGGACCAGGTGTCTGAGTAGTAACATTTTGACTTGAAATTTGGCTCTCCTCTCCAAGCTACAGACTTCCCAGTGCTAACTGGGACCAAGCTTTACCACCGAAAGGGTCCAACACACATTTCCCATATAAGCTTGGCAATACTCAAATCCTCAGGCCAGAGGAGGCTGTTCCAACACTCAGTAGCTGCAGCAGCAGAATCTCTCAGCTGAAATGGTCCTGTGATTCAAAAGATAAAAATACAAGTTCTTGACTGAAGCCATTTTGTTGATGAGACTATTGTTGAGGTACTTCAGAGGCAATTATTGTTCACAATACAGCTTCCAAGCAGCTCAGCTTCTGCAGGGCCAGCACAAGGACAGGCTGCTTGTTTCCTGACAAGGCAGCTTCCCACCTGATCACAGGCTTCAGCCTTTTTCCCTGGCCCTTGGTGCAGGCTGCAGCTCCTTGACCCCTGGTTACAGAGCACCACACTGAGCCGGATGTGATCAAGGTGAGCACAGCCCTGCATCCCTGCTCACCACAAATATCACCCATCGCAGCAGCTGGGAATCACACTGCCATGGCCCAGGAGAAAGAAGAAGTTGTGGCAGAGCTGGCAGCATCACTCCAGTAAGCTGCCCAGTCACTTCAGTAACCTCACTCCCTCTTCCCAAAGGAGCAGCAGCAACAGCTGGAAATCAGAGCCAGGGACTCATTACAGCAATGTAGTGAGGAAGTTTTATTTGGAAACATGGTAAAGTTTGTAACCCAACACTGGGTGCACGACTGATGCCGGAGCATATGCAGTTACCACTGAAACACAGGAGTGTTTCGAACAGTTGCTGTAATAAAACACAAAATTCTCATACTCCAATACCAGGACACTACAGCAATCTTTAGAATCAAAATTACATCCAAGGAATTCTCTGCACTTACAATTGACCCCACAGTGTAATCTACCTATATATAAGATTAATATATATAGCATGGGAAATTGAAAATCCTTGCTCCATAGATGTATGAACATGTCAAGTCTTTTATAAATAAACATCCAGTGAAGAGAAAAAATTACATTTCTAGTTCATATTTATACATAAAATACTAACAGCAATGGGTGGAAAATTGCACACAGGCCACCCCAAGCCATGCAGCAGGCTTGGAGCAGCCCATCCAAGTTAATATTGAAGTACACACAGGACAGACGAGTCACTAACATATATTGTGCATTTACAAGAGATCAACTACCAAATTGGGACAACTGTACACATTGGAGAAACCATTTTCATTCTGGAGCTTTTTTTTTTTTTGTTAAATGTAGATTTGTTACATCTCTTTACATCATACTGCAACATTTACTTTGTTGAGAGGATAAGGGCAACAATGAGGCCATAGAGACCCAAGACTTCAGCGAAGATCAAAATGAGGATCATCCCCACAAATAACCTGGGCTGCTGTGCTGTGCCCCGGACACCTGCATCGCCCACAATGCCGATGGCAAAGCCAGCAGCCAGACCGCTGAGACCCACGCTCAAGCCAGCACCCAGCTGAAGGAAGCTCCTGTGGGACAGAGATGGAAGAGTTTCAGTGGCAAGGAACAGGACACCCAGACTTAAGCCCCCTACCTCTTTCAACAAGTCCAATGTGTCTCAAAGCAGATGCTTACTGACACTCCCAACTCTGATACTTCAAGAAACAGGCAGCAGTGAAGGATCTTCACCTGATGTTCACGTGTGGCTCATACAGCAAACTGAGTTATTGGGTTCATATGGCCACCAGCAGGCTCAGTGTGCTGTCAGAGCAGCACTTACTAGCACTTGCAGCAATGCCTGACCCACAGTGCTGTGCAGCCTGTTAGTAGCTGCTTATCTCCAACCTTTAGCAACCTTATATACAGCCACAGCACATCCAGGTGTCTTGCACTGCAGAAACTGGACAGAAATAATCTGGTTTTTCAAGAAGGAGAGCAGTTCTGAGCAGTAGTCCCTATCAGTGTCTGGCCACCTGGTAATTGCAAAGGACCATTTGTATCTGCTCTTTTAGACCATGTCTCGTTAGGCAAGCACACTGCTGTACAGCCTGTACAGCAACACATCTGTCACAGTTCAGCAGCACTGTTTAATTCCAAGAAGGTTCAATCACACCAGTTCCAGCTGTTGTCAGAAGCCAAGAACAGATTAAGTTGCAGACTGTAGCTGCTACAGGGGCCCAATGTACAGCTCAAGGATCGATTTTACCAGCACATAAAGCAAAAGCAATATTAATTATTCACTTGCATTTCCCAGGCAACAGCAGAACTATTTGGACTGTATTGGAAACACCTGTGCCTCCAGGTCTAGAGTCTGGCATCATGACACAAGCTTTGCCTCCTATCCCAATGCTGCCTGGTCATGGCTTCTTTCAAGCCACAGCCCCATCACATGAGCAGCAGGATGCCCGACTGATCTGTGACAGCCAGTACAGTTCCACCAGGGCTGAGGCACCCAGCACAACAGCTGGAATCCAACCTGTTCTCCTAAGCCTAGCCCAGCAGCATTTAACACTGCCAGCCCTTCCAGGGGCCTTGAGCCAAAACCACCCACACACAGAGCATCAAACAGTGACAAGACAGTCTGAAACAGAATTGCCAGATGCAGCAACTTACTTGAATAGCGTGATTTCAGGTGAGAGGGCATTGGCAATGAGCACTGCCACTACAAGGCCATAGATTGCTATAATACCCGCCATGACCACAGGGATGATGGACTTCATGATCAGCTCAGGCCTCATGACAGACATGGCTGCAATACCTGTTCCACTCTTTGCTGTTCCATATGCAGCTCCCAAGGCTGGAAGAGAAAGAAAATGCATTAGACACATCCACAAATACCGTGTCTTTCACTAGGCTGCAGTTAGAATAGCTAAGTCAGCACAAGGAAGGATTGTGCAAAACCAAGAGTCACATGACAGCCAGGACTATTCCCCTAAGGGATGAGGAAGTGACCTGCCCAGAGTCCTACTACAAAGATGAGTTAAGAGGTGCTGTTCAAACACCATTGATAGCAGAACATCTTCCCAGGCCAGCTCCACAGCAGGGCACACCCCAGCAGCCATCCATGACCCTGCTTAGGAGCCAAAATCCCAAAGTCCCAAGGGGAACTCCAATGTTTGTGCCCTCCTAGAGTCCACACTGCAAGGCTCAACATAGCACATCTGCCTACCCCGGCAGAATACAGCTGAGAGCTGGACCACTTGAACTGATGCACAGAAAACCCATTTGCCTATGCTTTGGTCCTGGAGATAAATGTGCCATTGCAGCTTCATCAGACACACTGAAACAGAAACCAACTCCAAAATTATGACTCCACATCATTCCTTGGAGAAAGGTTCTGGCTCAGAAGAGGCCAGATCTTATGTCTTGAACTTGTTTTAGACAATTCCATAGAAAGCCTATGTTTACTGTCTTCACATGGCAGTCTTCGATGTCACTGAAGCTCTACTGAACTCTCACTGGTGGCCACAGAGCTTCAGATCTTGGCACATCTGCTTCCAAGGAAGCCTTTACCACCTCCCCAAACAAGAGACATCTCCAGCACCTTACAAGGCAATCTTGCAGCGCTTTAATAGCCTGGCAAGCTGTCCTTGCATCTTTGACATTATCCCAGTATTACAGACAAGGTGGCAAAGACCATACCTGCTTCCCACCATGACCCAGCCTCTAGTGGCACAGCCACTCAGTTTTGGGCTAAGAACACCTGTATAATGTTTCTGCACATCTTCACCTCTACCTTGCAGCAGCTCTGAACAACTGAAGCACATAGACTTCATATGCTACATTTAAATATCCCTGACTGACTGGAAGGATATGTTTTCCCAAATCTTGGTGAACAGGGTTTGAGGACATCTCTGTGGCACACACTGGAAACTGGGCATGAGCTGTATCTCTGCTACACACCAAGACTAAGTTTTTGGTATCAGCTCATCCAATTCCCCCACCTCTAACACAGAGACCAAGCAAGCTCCAAACACTACCTTAAAGGAGGTAAACCTATCAAAACATTTACCTGGCAGGTGGAGAAGCACTGCATATATCTAGTTCACCAGAGAAGGAATCCATGCTGGACTCTAACCAGAAATTGTGCCTTTTGGAAGTTCAATGGTGTTACAATACAAAGAAGGTGCAATGCACATCACTCAAGACCACCTACTCCCAGTAAGCCTGTTTTAAAGGTTAACTCCTTTGTGAAATACTTGATTTACTCCTTGAACTCACAGCCCAGAGTTGATTTATGTACTGTTCCTGGGGGCAAAGTGCCCTCCCCTCAGGGCTGAAGATATGCCGCCTGGGACCGAACCATATCTGTCCCTTTAAAAGTGATAGAGGAAGTGAGGCTGTGCAGCTCCAGGATCAAGTATAAACTAGACAATCACTTGCCAGATAGGCAGTAGTGTCAAAAACTGAAGACTGGTTGTAGTCTTGCCACTGGCCACAGCTTTCCATAGGGCTCTGCCAGCATCAGAACCAATCTTTTCCAGCTCCAGCAGGTGACTCTGCTCAGCGAGATCACACACCAAGAAGAGTAACCTTACAGTTAAATCAGATACCTAAGTCGCCTCCTTGATAAAGAAAGGGGCTGTGAGGAGCTTTCCAAGTCAGGAGATCCAGTTTCACCAGTTGATACATTCAGACAGACTCAGAAACAGCCACATACACTCCAGGAGCATTTGGTCCATTCCACAGACAGGGATTCCTTCCATGTCCTACCATGATGAAACAGATTTCCAGAGCACTAATATGCAGAATTCCCCTGCATTAGAAGTGAGCTAGTAAAAAAGTACTATTTCCAATTAGGATATCACTGGTTACCATCACAGCAAGCATGAAAAACCATTTGGGACAAGCACTTGCATCTGGAGTCTTTTAAAACCCATCATTATCAAATGGGCTGCCCTTCGTAGTAGGCAGGCTCCCCTGGGAGCAGACAGGCACCAATTCACCAACATCCATTCACCCCTGAGCAGGTTGCTCTTAAAAGGCTAGAGAAATGTTAGAGGCAACATGCAGGTCAAGTGCAGTCCTTGCTTCACCATGCCAGAAACCTGGGCACTTCCCAAGAAACAGGCTCCTTCCCACAGGCTGGCCCTGCCCCCTCCCACCCCACCACTGAACAGCTCCACCTCAGGTTACAGTAATGGATACTCTTGTTCTGCCCAGGTGCATCTGCACAGAACAGACAATCTGCATTAGGGGAACTGTACTGGAGCTTATGCAAATTCCCATCACACTGGCTGGAGCCTGTTCCTCAATGAAAACCCGAGGGGTAAACAGCAAAGCTGCCCTACAGGAAGCTGTAGACTGAACCTTTTAGTGAGTCACCTGTTTCAAGATTAGGGACAGCTTTTTGTTCTTCCACAATGCAATGAAAGGGTATGTGTATTTCCACCAGGCCTGGCACTGTCAGCCTACAGCATTATCAAAAATTCTTCAAGACTGGCAGGACTTGTACTCTTGGGTCAGTGAATCTGAAAACTTAAACCACCAGCTCCCTGAGATGTTGCTGTAATAGCAGCAGTCCAAGGAAAATAAAGGATCTGCCAGTCAACTGCCCAACAGCTGCTCCAATTGGCACTCTGGATTGTCTGACAGAGCACACAGAGCTCTTTGATTTTATAAGTTTGGTAAAGCACTTATACCAGCAGAGGCTTGTCCTTCTGCAAGAAGCAAAGCAGCTGTTTGTATCCAGTCACTTGTTACGTATCTTTATCATCATAAAGGCTCCCTTCCAACACCTTAAAGATGACCAGTTTCACAAACTGGGTGACCAGTGTATTCCAGGTACTGACTGGCAGACCAGTGTGTTACACGACTTAGCAAGACCCTTTCCCAACCAGCAGGTCTCAGGGGAGGTCAGAGCACTCAGCAGCACCCACAGCTCTGCTGCCCCATTAATGTGGCATGGGACAGCCCAGGTCCCCTGCCTGCACCCAGGAGACACTCCCATGGCCAGAGCAGCCTGACCCAAAGCCTCGTGCTTACAGGATTCAGTCTGAAGGAAGCAAGTGCAGCCACTTATGCCTCACTGGAGAAGCACACACTGCTGTAAATCATTGCTTCAAGGAGTACCAAACAGCCTGGTCAGACTGGGATGCTGTTCACATTGCAACGTCTGTGTGCAACCAGTCAGGCTCTGGAGATGGAAGAGGGCAGTTCTAAGGAAAGAAAAAAGGAAGCTGACCAAGAGGTTCTGAGGCAGCATTCATCCATGTCCACTGCTGCTCCCAGTGTTCCCACCAGAGGGGAAACACCTGCAGGCTGTGTAGAGAGACACCAGGGTGACACAGGGAACCATCAGGAAGCCACAGTACAAACTGCAGCATAAATGCTTAAGCCATGTTCTGCAGAGTCAATGGTTTATACTGATGATCCATCTCATTTTCAGATGTTCCCAAGACTGGCATTTACTGAGAAGAAATTATGCCCTTGTTGAGATGCCTTCCCCCAATCTCAAGCTGTAGAAATATCGCCTACTTCACTTCTGTCACAGCACTTAGGTCTTAGCCATCCACTGCTTTACCTGCTGTTAAGGATGAAAGCTTAAGCTAATCTCTACTGCAGACTGTCTGGTAGCTCGCATACCTGCCCACATCACAAGCACCCTCATTTGGACCAGAAAACTAGCTTAAGCTGCACTCTGCCATTTCATTTTTACCTGCAAGCAGCTCTGCTGTTCCACCTCCCCACCTCTCAGACAGTATTTTGGGAAGCACAGGTGTCATTTGTCTTTGAGGATGCAAGTTGTTTATCATCCTGATACCTTCCAGAATCGGACTGTGCAGGGCTGTCAGCTGCATCAAACTTCATGTTCTAAGCCAGCTATTTCACCATGGAGGTCCCTTAAAAGTCAACCAACTGCTATAATATCTGAAGCCTTAGTTTAAAAAAAAAAGTATTATTTCATTGGCTCTGCAGCAAAAATGAGAAGACACAGGACTAATTTAATACTGCTGGCTAATTCATGAGGAATTTTCCAATTGCTTGACAATGCAGCAGGTATTAAAGGCACCGAATGTCCAGCTAGAATTCAGGCCTAAGGACAACTCCTCTCACCACGGAGGGCACAGTGGGCACACTTGTGATAGCTTTGCACAGAGCACCAGCAGACAGAACCAGACAGCTCTGCCCAACACCACACATGTCCATTCTGGTGTGCTCAAATCACATGAAAAAGCTACAATAATTGAATCACTCTACAGCACCTGAGCCACTACATTTCAGTCATGGGAAATAAGGAACTGCAGCAATGAGACCAAGTTGCAATCTGCAAATAACCAGACAGGCTCAAAGACGGCCAAGGTCACAAGAGCCTGCTTTTGTCTCTGGCTGACCAGAACAAGTTCTGCTATCTATTTACCATCAGCAAGTAATGCTCACACATCACACAGGACTGCTCCAAGTTGCTTGTTTTCACATCAAACTAGCCTGGACAGTACAGAACCTGAATATATTTACTAGAAACATGTCCTGGAACTATAAGCGCCACAAGAATGTGATCTTTAGATACAGCATGAGTCAGACACCATCACTGCAGTAATTAACACTGATCCAGGACAATTTTGGGTTTTACACGGCTTGTCCAGATTTAGCTCCTTACTTCAAAACCAGGGTGTTGTTTTTTAACTAACATCAGAACATGCTGTGATACCACATGCCTGTAACAAAAGCTACACAATACTGCAAGTTTTAGTTTATCCTATGTTGATACCTCTGCTATATTGCCTTAAAAATACAAACCGTTTCACTGAACAGTCACATCTGAGGAACAATTTCCCATCAGCAGTATCTATAACCTGTGCTGAACCCATCACAGGCCCTGGCAGGAGTATCTGCATGGCTCAGATCTGCTGGTACTACAACATCACTGAGGTCAAGAAAGAGCTCTGAGCTCATTGAATCCAGGATTACCTGACACAGATTCTGCATCAAGGACCTCTCACAAACCAGCTGCAACATGATGCATATCAAACCTTCATCAATACAGCTTATGCACTAACTTCACATTCCCTTACTCAAACCTTCCCCTTGCAATCCCACAGCACCATGCTGTCATGCTGCAGCTTCTAGGAAAGGCTTCCCTGCTGGCTCAGACACGCCAGCACCACTCCAAATTGCTGTTAAAGCACTGACTCAAGTCTGCATCCCTCACTGATGTTACAGCTGAAGCACACTCACATGTTACAAATCTGGTGTCTAAAGCCAGACAGCCATATTCTTTTGCTTCCAAAAATCCATTCTGCAAGAGGAAACCAGCAACTCCTTCCTTGGAAAAAGAAAGCTCACTATTTAGTACCATTCTGCAAAACACAATGAACTGCTGACTATTTTTTTCCCCAACAAGTAACTAGGTCTTAGTTTCTTCCTCCATTATCTTCAGTAGTCAAGTGACAGGTAGGTCCCAACTCTAGCTCCTACGGTATTTCAACCACTGAGTTTTCAGGAAAATTCTTACCGGTCAAGCATAAGTAAGTGTCTGAAATGAAAGGTGGCAGGCCACTGACTGCCCTCAGCATGGACATCTGCATCCTGCCACCAGGTACAAACTAAGCAAGACTGAACACAGCCAACCAAGCTTTTGTTTTATCAAAAACTAGTCACAAACATGGCTGGTGTGGAACCAGTCCATGATGGTCAACCAGCATGGTTAGACAGCTTACTCTCAAACACTAGTTTTAATCCACTGTCCACTTGGCTCTTTACATGATTTCATCTCCCACACTCATCAATCAAGAGCAGCTTCCCCAAATCCATCCTGCAAACCCAGCCACCATCCCAGAGCCGATATTAACACAATGAGATCCCAAGCACCTCAAGAGCACTTTCAAAGCATGAGCTACAACCAATTCAGTATTAGAAAGGAGCCAAATGAGGTGGGAGATGAAGACCAGTCAGTATGTTCACATCTGTGGAGAAACGGACTACGCCTTTAGAATCTGGGAAAAACAGATTAACTCCTACTTGTTTTGTTCCCAATTACTGTGACACCTGCATTTGGGAAAAAAACAGCTGAAGCCTTCCCCATGTTACATCCCAAAGGTAATAGCAGGTCGGCACCCATCAGGGACCAGCAAACGCTGTGCAGGAACAGCAGTCGCCTTCTGCAGGAGGTTTAACAAGGCTTTAAGAGACAAGGCACTAAAGGACGGGCCTTCTGGTGTAAACCAGCATTTATGGTCCCTACATACGAGCTCCTTCAGTGGGGAGAGCAGTGCCGCAGGATGACCCAATTTACACCGCACTAAGCTCGCTGCCTGGAGACGCAGAGGGAGGGCCATGGAACAGGGCATTCCCCGTGCCCTGACATCCCCGTTCCACGGAGTAGCTCAGGAGCCCGTCCATTGCCTGCAATGGCATTAACGCCTCTAAGGCGGACTAGCCGCCAAACGACCGTACATTCATGTTTAATCCCATTAAAAACTGGTATTGTATTATCTGGGGAATGGCTTAAGCACCAACCGCGTCCATTCACAGTGGAAGAAGCGCCGCCACAGCGGAGGCCAGGGCAGGCAGAGTCCTGGAGACACGACACCCTCCCCGCCCCGCGGGGCCACCGGGGAGACCCCGACCCGCTGCCCGGGGGAGGGGGGGGGGACGGCCCGGGCGGCGCCGCCGCAGTCACGTGGCCTTGGGGGCTCCGCCGGCGGTGACGTCACCGGCACGGACCCTCCGCTGCCCCCGAGAGCCCGGATGAAGCGGGGGGGGGGGGAAGGGGGGGGGAAGAGGGGACCCACTCGGGCCCGAAGAATTCCAGCCCCCGCCACCGATGGCGCCCCGCCGGGGCAGATGAGTGACGGGGAGAGAGGAGCCGCTTCTCCCACACTATGCTCCCCCTCCTCCCCACCCTCTCCTAGGCCCCTCCAGTTGCCCGTCGGTGCTCACCGCTGAAGACCATGGCGGCCGAAGCGCCCATCACGGCGAAGAAGGAGGCGTACTCGGGGCTGGAGCCGGAGGACATGGCTGCGAGGGCCGGGCCGAGGCGCCGCTAGAATGGGAGCACGAGAGGGCGGGGGACAGGCGGAAAGCTCCGCCGCGGCGTCGGTCCTCGGCGGGCAATGCCACAAAA